TTTTATTTGACATATATAGAATCCACCATCATCCTGCAGGAGCATTGAAATTTTGTATAATCTTAAGGACTTGACATCCGGAGTTTCAGATACTCTACACAAATTAAAGCTTGAAAACCGCTGTTAATCTTCGGTTACGTTTGTTTCATTTGACATATAGAAAAGGGAAAATGGCTCGGCACAATGTGACGAAAAGGCACTCTCCCGAATTTGAATAAAAAAGGCAAACAATATGTTTTCATTAGTAAAGTAAAGACATTCAAAAAACATAAACGTATCTTGCTTGAGGCATAACTTGCTTTTAAATCTTAGTTATGATCGCTACCGACACTTGGGAATAGCAAAACACTTGTGCGATATCCTATGCGGAAATTGCTGAAACTAAATCCGTGCGAGAAGAAATATGGAAAGAAATGTCAAGTATACGTAAAGATCAAAATTGTGATGTTAAGTGGTATCGAAAGTAGAGAAAGACTGTTTACGGTAGATTGAATAAACCTTAACTTATAACCTTAACGTATAACCTTAAATGACCAAATAATGTTGGAAACTTTAAACACAGAGGGAATGTAATTGTAAGGAGACTAGTCGGAACCAGAATCCCACCTTTGGCACAAAAAAGTTTTTACTCGTTTTCCTTCAAGCTCTGAAATGTTATTCCCTTTTTTTTTTTTTACAACCACCACTCCCCATGCAGGGCTCTTCCGTGAGGTTCCCTCCACACGCACTCAACTCACATGTTGATTTTTACGGAGGGAGGAAACCGGAGATCCCGGAGAAAACCCTCGTGGCAAGGGAGAGAACAAGACAACAAACAAACTAAACTCACATATTATCCAGTTTGAGCCGGGGCTCGAACCCGGACCACAGTGGTGAGAGGCGAGAGGTAAACCACTACGCCACCCATCTGGGAGACATGACGCAGTTTTTCCCCCTTTTTATGAGTTTCCTGTGGCGCAAGTTACCCTGTAACCTTAATGATAACAGTTTTCTTAACACCACTCAGATCACAAGCTGAAGTTTCGACGATAAAGCAACGAGGTGGCTCTCAACTTGGGCGGCCAAAAATTAACCTTTGTTAATTAAAGGGGTTGGTACCCCGGAGGAAATGTGAAATGAATGACAAGCGAACTAAATGAAACTAAAGGTCTGTAGTTCGATGTGTTATCAAATACTAATGTTGTTATGAACGACGTCCACGGTGACTCTATGGCGGCGAGGTTTCCGACTTTTCTTAGTTGCCATCTTTCTTACTCTCGGTTCGATCTGATATATGCTTCAATATATACACAACAACTTTGACTTTGACAAATTGTAAAATTTCATAAGATTAGCCTTTTTAAAAAAATTAAAATTAGCCTCTTATTTTGCCCTTTGCATGGTTTTCAAATTATCACAACTTTTTTTACGTGCTTAGCTGCTAAATTTGCTTCTAAGTGCATTCCTGTTGTTCGTGAAATCTATTTCATCTCTAGTGCAAGTTTTCTTACTTTTTAAATATAACTCACCGAGTATATGGTATCGTTGGATCAAACAAGGGTTAGGTATAGCAGCCAAGAATCTGAAAAGAAATCGCTCAACACGGAGACTTCTTATTCTTTATCATATAGACATACAAAATGTAGCTTATTGAATTTCATCACGTGATGTACTTTTTAGAACGCCTTTGATTGGCTCGTGTGTAGCTCGTGTGGTAAACAGTTAGAGCTATATGAATGGCTTACGTCAATGTAGTTCTATACCTAATTAACCTGTTAAACTAGTGTAAGGGAGTGTACCAATAAACCTCTTAGCCTGTCAAACTTGTTTAAGGCTTGACCTGAGAACGACAATTCCTGGAAAATGAAATCTATTCCTTTCATTCATTTCCAGTCAATCGTATTGTGTTTTATTCATTTTGTCGGGCCACTATTCCCGGAACCACTTAGCCACTTCACTTAACCATTTTTGTTTCCTAGATATAGATTTCCTGGAAAATATAATCCAAAGTGATTGTACTTGATAGAAAGTACATCTTATCAGTACGTATATAAATCATCCTTTTTTCCCAAAAAAAGGCGCCGTAATATAATATAGCCATGCAATTTCCATTTTGAGAATGGATAGAACTACACGATATTATATATACAAAATTTTGCGCTTAGATGGAGTGATCTTTTTGATAACACAATTTGGCGCGTTTTGCTTTGCGCAACCAACTACACTGAACGAACTTGATTTGAAGATGGTGGCATATAAACCCAAGAAGTTAACTAACTTACGGCCCTTGCTACATTACTGAGTTTACAAAAGTAAACACTGCCTATAGAGGTTTTGCACCATGCATCCCGTGACAGCAGCCATGTTAGATAAGCACTTTCATAAATGACTGCTGCTAATTTGCATAAACATTAAAAATCAATGTTTTTGTAGTGAAAACCCTTTTAAATCATTGATCTTGTTGATTTAGATAAGGCGTGTGAGTTTCTACTTAAAGTAATAAATCCTTTACAAGATGTGAGCATTTGAAGTTGCGAAAATGCACCAAAACAATGCCTCCAAGGCTTCCAGTGATAAATACATACAAACTCTCTATTTTCGTTCTTTAGTAACTTCTTTGGTATGCAGTCAAATTTTACAAAATTTTCTGAAAATGGTTTTCATGAAGTATTTTCTCAGATAGCATTAATAGTTTCTGGTAAACAGGCTTCATATCAGAAAAAACTGAATTATGAAAGTCGTTTTACATGAGAAAGAATTTAATTCTCAAAGATCAAAGTGATTTTGTTGTTCTGTCATCTAACCACAGGCAGCCCAAGCTGTATTGTGGGTACGTGATGATGCAAAACCTCTATGGAAAGTTAATGTATATGCGTAGATGTTTACAGCACGATTATACGAAAATAATGAATAATATTAAACGAAAGCAAGAAATGTTATATACTAATTCACACTATAATATTGATATACCAATTACCTTTAGAGATACCCAACACATTAGTTCTTCAGAATGGCAACATCGTTAGAAAACTGAAGGAGTAAGTTACGAAGTTGGTGCTTAAAGCTAATGAATCTCGATAGAAAAGAGATAATATAGACGGTTATTGACTGACTAGTTGCTTGAGATTGAAATCGAGGCAATTAAAGATAGTAATCGCAGAGTTAGCAGATGTACTCTCGCCAGAATTAAACCATAGATGATACCCCTTCTGTTAACTATGATTAGACCGTGGGAAAGATACCTTAAGTTCAAATGCGCAAGCTCTTGTGCGCGGAATAGGTGAATGAGTATAGGACCAGCAGTTGAACATAAGCTAAAGACAAGGAGGAGCTAAATGATAATAGTATTGGAAAGCTTTCTTCGTTTAGATAACCATTTCATGTGAGCTTGGTGAAAAAAACTGACAAATAGTTTTTACTGAGAAGTCGATCGAAGTCAAGGATCATTTGTGCTGCGCGTATGAGAACAATTCCCCTAGGCGCTCGAACAATAGATAAGATGATTATGAATGAGCTATATAGAGGAAGAACGGCTTGATATATCGTCAGTGATAGGACGTTTTCATTATGGCGTCATTTTACTACGACGAAGATCCTTCGCGAATTTCCTTTCTTGTTAAAATTTGTATAGACTTAGTGTTACTAGTTTGAGTAAGCGATCAATTAAATCCGTAACAGCAAGCTCACAAGAGGGAAATCTTCTGAAGCCGAACTGGGAATCAGATAGCTGGCCATGTTCCGTAAGAAAGTTATAGAAAGAAATATAACGTGGCGCTCAAGACGTTTAGAGAATGGCGAGAACAGGTCGATAGATAGAGCGGTAAAAAAGGCAGAGCCGTCTTTAAAAAGGGGAGAAACTTCAAGGTGTGGACACAAGATGCGATGTTGCATCACGCGACGTCGTAGAATTACATTACGTTTTTTTCTGCGACGTCGCATGTATTTTCAAACCGTCTCCTCACCCCAAAAAAAACCAGCCTTTTTCATGCAACGTTGAAGGCGTTGTCGTATCGTGGGTTTCTGACGTCGCATGCAACATCAACCCGTCTGACACCCAAAAACATCCTTTCTCATGCAACGTGTGTCCGCAATTTTAGCAATTTTAATTCCAGAGGTGTGGGAAAGAACTTGAAGTAAGGCTAAGGTTGAAAATTGGTGTTAGCAGAGAAGCAATAGTTGGGGCCGACATTTTCAAGAAATAGCCACTAAGCCTGTCTAGGGCTTCAGCTTTGCCAGTAGGCAGATGTTTTTTCTACGCAGCGCGCGTGCTTCGTATAAAGGATACCCTTTGGAATAAGGCACGCAAATGGAATTCTTGTAGTGAAAGTGAACAAAAACACATGAATGCGTTACAATTACCTGTGAATTTTGGCAATACTCTCTAGATGAACCAAACTGTTGTTGTTGTTGTTGCTGTTGCTTATTCTTTAAAACAGACCTCAATACTGGCGTTACGGACAGTCATCCAGTAAGATTTTTTAAGAATTCTTTCTTTCTCTTTCTTGGTGCGTATGATGAAGTTCCATCATAACACAGCAGGTCTGCACTTTCACTGCCTAGTATATATAGCTTCTAATAAATCATAAACCCATTTTAGTTTTAAAACGTCTGATTTTTTGTATGAAGGGCTTTTCTTGCCCGGCATGGCTGTTGCCATAATATTTCCGGTTAAAATGACACTGAATTAGCAAGCTTCAAAACTACCTTTGTTGATATTGATTAGCAGTAAGAACCTTTTATTCAACCGGTTATATTTCTCTACAATTGTCTCTTTGATAACGACTTCTTGACAAATTATAAGTGGTTTTCAGGGACCCACGTTATAGTGATTTTTGATAGCCCACGCTTCATCAATCAGTTTCGAATGGATTAGTATCGTGCAGCGAAGAGACCTTAATGTAAGTGGGAAACGCTCGCGCCGTGCTGGTGCTTACACTGAAATGGGTTCTTGCACTTCCAGTTGATAGACCTTTTTACCAAGGGCGTAATGTTTTCCCATTTCAGACAGCATGTCATTCCCTAGAGTATTATGTCCTTGTTTAACGGTTGCACATGAGAAGACACATGGATATGGATATGGATACAAGTGCAACTCAAACAAAAAAATTTATTTTCAAGAGTGACATTTTGAAATTACATTACACCCAATCAAAAAAGATCTATTGCTGCAATTTTTTTTTTTTTTTTTTTTTGCATTCGGTCGGAATTTGTACTTGCTTTCTTATGAACGTCAAGAGTTCTCATTGGATGTTAATCATGGATACGGGTTCTGATTGGTTTAAAAAGAGAAATCCATTTGAGTGTCGAACCATGTTCATCGTTTGTTTCATTCTCACTACTTTCGTACGAGCATGAAAAACGAAGGTACGAAGAAAGAAAATCAACCGCGCTAAAAACAAGATAAAAAGACATCTTCAAAAGGGCCGCTACACAGCACGCTTACCCCTATATCTTTCTTACAATTCCTAATTGATAATTAGATCTCTCGCCCTCTTATCCTACAAGTCAGTAGTAGTCTATAAGGCCAAAATTGTTTTAGTCTAAACCTACTTATCGGCCAAATAAATGGATACGAAATATTGTGAGATTAGGTTAAAATAACTTCGTGTGTGTGTGCACTTTTCTCTACCAGTGGTCTATCGCTAATAGAGCGCAGGTTTTGAGATTAGTAGGTTTATAGTAATTGAATTTGTTTACATTTACGTCTTCCTATATTTCTTATTGTTTTAATCAAAACATTATGGGGTGAAAATTTATGGACTGCACAGCTGTCAGGATGACTTTTTATATAAATTTACACTTTTCATTAAGAAGCACATCAATTGAAAAGCAATTGAATTTGCTTGTAGTTGGAACAATACTTGTAATTATTTGAAAACTTAACGCCGCCATTGCCCCCTCGGCATTTCATTATTCAAGATGGCCGCCTTATCAGTAAAAAGGTCTATTTTCTATGGTCGATTTCTCGTACATGAGTAGAGTTGTTTGTTGATTCTCTCCTGTGCTTCGAGGGTTTTCCGGGTTCTCCGGTTTTCCTCCCTCCACAAAAATCAACTCCTAAATTCCAATTCGATCACGGAATGAGGGCCACAGGTTTGTTAGGCACTGGATATTATGTGCTACCCTCGTGAAAAAAAGGACGTTTTTTAAATATTTTTTTATTAGAGCATATGGACTATACTGTAAGGGAAGGTACGTCTTTACTGAGGGGGAGGGCTGGGACTTCAGAGGGAAGGGTCACTGATCAGTAATAATTTGAGACGTTGTTAAACCTTTTTATCTTGAAGAAAGCTGTTGCACTGCCCCCCCCACCCTCCATACACACACAAAATGTTGGTTCATATGAAATATAAATGCATAGATTCGATTTTTAATACTGTTATTAAGTTATTGTTGTGATTTTTTCCAGTGCCCCCCCCAAAGATTTTTCCAGTGCCCCCCAAAGATTTTCAGCTTCCGCCGCCCCTGCTCGGTAAAATATGTCACAATTGTCCCTCAAAACTCTGGAAATCTCATTTCCGAGGGTCTCAATTTCAAAATATCTCCCTTTATTATGATCTTTATGACTAGCTGTTTACCTTTGAACATCCCCTATGTTTTTAGACCAAGAGAAGATTAGTTGGAGCAGGTCCGGAAAACAGCTATATGCAGCAGCTGTCTCTCATGCACTTTGAGAAAACACAAAAGAAAACACAGTCCATAAAACCAACATTCATTTAACGATGTTAGCATATAACAGTTTACACTGACAAACCTGTGGCCTTGTGGCCGGGCCATCAATTCAAGTGATGAAAGTTGAAAGTAAAAACTAAAAGAACAAACAACTTAACCACATGTACCTTAAAAAAGACAGGTCGTAGAGCGATAAATTCAGCACGCGTTCTAAGGCAGTTCTTCCCTCGACTACGATAAGATGTCAACTGATTTGGAACAATAACTGGAAAGTTAAGAGACTTGACGATACCATTATGCCTGAAGGGTCTGCGATAAGGAGCCTATATATGGCTATGAGTAGGTCATTTACTAACTTCAGACCGAAGTCATTTGTTCATCATCAAGGAAACATTTTAAATGGAGCTTTAGGTTCTTTTTTAAAAATGGTCAACGAGCTAGGACTCTATACACTCAAAACACTAATTAAAGCTTTATCGCTAGGTTAGGTCATTATAAAAAGAGATGAAAGAAGAGGGGAGAAAATTAATGAAGAACGATCCTTAATCGAAAACCACTAAAGTGCTATGAATTTTAAGCAAAATGACTTCAAACGACGAGCATTAATGAATATATTGACGTTAATTTGCCGAAAGCGCTTTTCGTTTTGCTGTAACATTTTTCTCGTAAGCATAGAAAATTTCCTATCCATTTGCACAAAATTCAGAATATTTTACATTTTAACATTATTATATAAACAAGAATTCGCGGAAACAAAAACAATCGTGAATCTTCTTAGAAGACTTCCTTTTACCTCTTATCGATTCTTGCTTTACAAGAACCTCATTAACGCCTATATGCTCATCTGCTATTATCATGGTAAAACATCCGATCTGATCTGCCTGAGGGACTCCGTAAAAAGCTCTCTAATTCTGTTATTGCCTTAAAAGTTGATATTAAGAACGTTCATATTTTTAGAGTAAAAAATATTTTTTCATATTGTCACTGAAGAATGTGGAAGATATATATAGACCAAAATAATGTTCTTATATCAGGAGCCACCGGTTTTCAGTGGTCGCCTCTCCGGTGCGACCGGGATCGACTTCCGTGACCAGGACATAAACTATGTCATGAGAATGCCGAAGAGTTACTTGTTGATAATTTTAGAAAAGTTTGAAAATCTCTTTGCGCATGTATTTTACGATGAACCAAGATAGCTAGTATAGTTTCTTTGGTCGCAAGAGTGATGAGTTATTAATTGATTTTTGACGATCAAAGATAAACCCCAAATTAAGCCTTTAAAACAGCCCACATAATAGAATAGATTTATAGATAAGCCATACAAGTCTTTGATATTGCTTTATGTTAAATGAATGAGCTAATTCGAGTATAGGCTACGCTTCCAACAACCTGAAATAGAAGTAAGGTTTCTATACAAGTCCCACCACTCGTACCTATACCACCACTTTGTAACACAGCTCATAATATTTGAAGCGGCATAAAAATTTAAAACTTCCGCCTATTTCAAAAAGGCCTACTTCATTTAAGTACTTCTAAATTGCCAATACGTTATTAGTAAGTGAACACTTCTGGATAAGACTACTAAGCGCGCCGACTATCCATTACAGTTTAATTTCGCTGAGGTAAGGTTCGCGCAGTCGGCCATGTTCAAATTTTTATAACATTGGATTCTTTTTGCGTTTTGGGGTTAACAGATCAAAGACCTGAATCAACTGTCTTCAATTGAATGTAAACTATTCCTGTTTTTATTTGTAAAGTACCAATTATCAGTTCATTATGAGTTAATTTTCCACATTCAAAACATCAAGAAGTCTAGTGCAAAAAAATTCATTGTAATATGACAATAGGAAGAAGTGCTCCAAAATTACTTCTATTTACAAAATCGTCTTATCACACAGTCTTCAGCGTAAAATGAGCGGTTTTCCCTCTAGTTAATCCCCTACTTTTAATCATCAAACGTTAGATCCTGAAGACTCACGGGACAGTTTTTGCGTGATGTGGGATAAATTTTCCTTCAACAACCGGGCGCGACGCCTCTGATTACATGGGTATAAAGTGTAGTAACTCCGTTTGCTAATATAGAAAACATGGCTCGAACAGCAAGAAATAGGCCCTTAGATTTGATTTCAATTTAATTTTGTAAAATATAATGATATGTCTCCTTTTTTTCGTTTTGACGTTCAAATATTTTGTGGAAGAAGACAGTGCGAAGTTTCCCCCTCCCTCCTCCATATAAAAAAAATCTATTTCAGTTGTGGTGTGGCTATGAGCATCAAGTGTACAGCGCGAGACTAAAGCCATTAAAGATACTCACGTTTTACCTACTGCTCTTGGGGTTCCGTCGCTTGTTTGGCAATGACCTTCTTTATTCAACGAAGAACTTCTGGCGGAAACTGTACGGTTAAACTAAAAAGATCAATGATGTTTTAAACAAGCACGATTCGCGAGAAAAATTCTTGGTCACTAATCCCCGCTTTATACGAGGGAAATGATCCTTCAAATTGTATATCTATACCTGAAACAAACTAGTCAGGGCACGGCTAACTCACAGATCGAACCCATAAACAACCTCTGCGGGCCTGATCAGTCAAAGTTAATGCACGGCAAACTCACGGCTAAGGTTAAATGTGATTGATTAAAAAGAACGATTGGATAGGAAGACGCGGTAAACGGAATAGAATTAAACTTTAATTTGAGGGTAAGCGGTTAATGTTTTGAATGCCGGAAAAACGATTGGATTGAAACGCGCGGTAAAGAAATAAAATTTGAAGGCAAGCAATTAATGTTTTGAAGGCCGGAAAAAACAGCCATATGCCTGTTTCGATAACGATCTTTCACGGTAACGTTGTGGTAAAGGAAGACTACACTGGAGAGAACAAAAGAGCTTCAAATGTTAATCAAAAATTTTTTTTAAAAAACAATTAAAACAATTTGATGCTATTTATTATCTTTAATTGCTTATTTTATATGAAATATTTTTCTAATATTTTCCTAATATTTTAGACTTTTTCGTGACTCCTTTTGGGGACGATTAGCGTGAATAAAGTAGGGATTTAAGAAAATATTCAATTTTAGATCTTTTTAGTCTTTAATCCATTTATTAAAACTCAAATCCCATTGAAAATCCTTTTAATGAAACGCTTAATAATTATTCAAAGCAAATACTGAAATGAAAAGTTTTTTATCTAGGATATTTAAAGCAGCTTATCTAAACCTTTTTCCAGTGATGTTTTTAGGAGAAACATTCGATTTTTTCGTTGAGAAGTTTCACCTTATCGAAAAATTTTTTGGGCTCCCTTTGGCTTCTAAAGTTGCAAACACAGGGAACCCGTCACTTGTAAAAGATAAAAGAAGGTCCTTGTAAGTTTCGATTTAACAAATATGGCGAATCAAGGAAACATTAGTGACCAAGACAAAGCCATGGAACATGTTAAAGGATTGATAAGATGCTTTCAGGACTTCCCGAAGCCAGGGATTTCCTTCAAGTAAATATTGTTTACCATTTTGTACTAATTTGTACACACAGGGAACCCGTCACTTGTAAAAGATAAAAGAAGGTCCTTGTAAGTTTCGATTTAACAAATATGGCGAGTCAAGGAAACATTAGTGACCAAGACAAAGCCATGGAACATGTTAAAGGATTGATAAGATGCTTTCAGGACTTCCCGAAGCCAGGGATTTCCTTCAAGTAAATATTGTTTACCATTTTGTACTAATTTGTATTACATAGATTTCTATCACACCGTAGTCCTAACTACGGTCACATGCATGGCTTCATGCATGGCTTCAGTCATGTGCGAGCTGATGGAAAGTTTTAGCTCACGCCTATTTTGACCCGCAAAACAATCTTACTGTTAAATTCTTCTTTATATAAAGCCTCTAAAGCTGTGAATATTATAGTTTAAAGATGTGTGGTAGCTTAGATATTGGGCATGCTTAAACACGTGTGGGAGGGGAGGGACAATGTGAGATAGGGTCAGAGACTAAAGATTCAAAATTATTAAAGTGCGAATCCAAAAACCGTGGGCACCTAGAAATATTTCAAAAATGTTTAATAGCCAATCAGAAGCGTTATTTTTATCTTTCCATTATCTTGTGGTTAGAAAGTCAATTCTAATTGGCCAAAGAACAATAGAACATTCCTGGGATATTTCTACAGCAGGTGCTCACGGTTTTTCAATTCACACTGTAACCAGGGGCCAACAATAGAGCACACTTTAATTCTTATGTATTTTCTGTACTCCCTAGGGATATTTGTCCAATTTTAAAAGATCCATGTACCTTGAAAACAGTGACAGATGTCACTTCAGATCACATCAGGAAAAATGTAGGACAAATAGATGCAATCATTGGTACGTTACTCCTTCCATTTTTCCATTTAAGTTAAAACCAGACTCTTTACAAAATGTTAAGTTTCCTATCAGGTTTTTATCAATGATACACTTCTAAGAAGCTGATAATGTGTACATGAAACTGGTTCGTGCTACTTCTCGTTACTCCTTGAAAAGCCCTAGAATTCAAAACACATTTTTAAGTGCACTTGAAAAGTCCTTTAAAAATCCTTATTTTTTGGGCTGGAATTGTAGCACGAACCCTGATGTTACTATGACCTCACCATACATATGTATCTTTTAGGTCTTGAAGCCAGAGGTTTCCTATTTGGGCCTCAGATTGCAATGAACTTAGGCATTGCATTCATACCTATAAGAAAATCTGGCAAGCTTCCTGGTCCGACTATTAAAGTCTCTTACAGCAAGGAATATGGCGAGGTACCTAACATTTCAAATTTTAATATTTATCCTACATAGATATCCATTTGTCAACCAAAAACTTTGTCAAAATCCCAGTTCCTATGAATCAATTATTATTTTTTCAGTACATTTTATTTTTTCAGTATATAATTTTACAATAGCCCTCATTCGAGATATGTATCGCTTGTCAGGGCTGTAACCAGAACTTTTACAGGGAGGGTGCACATTGAATAAAATCGGGCCATTGATCTTTTTTTTTCATTACCAACTCAGTTGTGTAACTAATTTGCAGAACCTAAAGGGAAAAAAGGTAACCAAAAGAAAGCAGAACCAAATAAAAAAAAAGGAGATGGATGAGTGGACCTTAAGCTTTTATGAGGGGGTGCACGTGCACCCTGTGCTCTCCACTGGTTACGGACCTGCTTATCATACACAAAAGATTCAATGTGAGGCTTCATGCATAATGCTCAGTGATTCGTGACAGAAGAAAAGAATTAATTTGATTTAACACGTAATTAACCTCATACTAAAACCTTTGTGCAATGCAACTTTGGGAGTTTTTAGGGACATATTTGTGACATTTTACAGAGGCAGCTGACTCAGTTGCCTTATAGACGTCGCTACACAGCCATGCAACAAAACAGTATTCATCAAAATAAAAAGATTTGACCCTACAAAAAAGTTCAAATTCTTAGTGATTATTTTCCCCTCTGAAGCTCCAGCCCTCCTTCCTCCAAAAATGTACCTGACTCTTGTCTTTTTGCAGGCATTGGGTAGTTAATCAATATTTGAACTATTGACATCTGAATGCATATTTATCTGCGTTTTGTTTGTCAAAAGGATGTGTTCGAAATGCAAGAAGATGCCTTGAAACCTGGACAAAAAGTGGTTGTCTTTGATGATCTTATTGCCACTGGAGGTAAATAGAATAGTTAATGTTTTATATAACTTTCACTGTTGTGCTTAAGTATGAAGGAATGTTGGTATGAACCCTCAGTGCCGTATGTAGATTGAGCCACAAGAAGTTTCACAAGTTGTCCAGTCTTCCTCCTGCCATTAAGTCCAAACCAACGTATGATCGCTATGTGCTGATTGAGACAAAATCTTGCTTCATTTTCATAGGCAATAGACTTTGAATCTATTAATCAAATAAATCTTTAGAGTATGTAAAGGTAGCTGGGGACTGTGAGAAGGTGGCATGAGGATGATTTATTTGAATTGATGGATGGTAGACTATTTGCAATTAATCTGTCACTGCTTTTGTCTCATGCATAGCAAAAGGGAAGTAGGAGGGGGTACGACACACAGTTCACAACATATTGAAAACCATAAATCATGTTTCATGTAAATGTTAATTATTATATGGGTTGTAGAATACCCTCATCTTGATTAAAAGTCATGTAGTGCTATATTGACCTTGTTCTCATGAAGGGAAATGCAATAACAAATTGAAAAATTGATATTTTAGCTTGAAGTTTACTTGTGAACATGTGGAGTGTCTTTCACAAAGATTGTATAAGTATGTTACGACAAACATGCTCTTCACAAGTTCGCCACAGAATCGAAAATAAAAAATCTGAATTACTTTTCATGCCAAACCCTGTTATCGCCCAGATAGCAATGAAAACAGTGGTAAATACATTATGGAGGGAGTATGAAATAGAAGTGTGGCCTAAAAACCTAATAGCTTAAAAACATTTTAATAACTTTCCCCAGGGACCCTTGTAGCAGCCTGTGATCTGGTCAAAAGTGCTGGCTGTGAAGTAAAGCAATGTATAGCTTTGCTAGAACTGGAAGAACTCAACGGCAAAGCCAAGCTTTCTGTGCCATGTCATGTGCTTATTAAACTGTAGTAAGTCTTTTAAATAAAAATAAAGATTTTAATACCTCAACCATGGATGGGATAATTCCAGCTGATTTGCATAAACTGAGTTATTTTTATACAGTCTCCACTGCATACCATCTGATCACTGTCATTTAAGCCACGAAAAAACCCTTTGGATTCCTAAGGGTGAAGGGAGTGTCACTCTTGGCGGTGATGAGGAGATGGGTCACTGGACCCTGCCCTGGGTATCACATTAGCAATAATTGCCCTAATTGCCCTTGACCCTGAATGACTCAAAGGCCATGAGAGCAACAGGACTAATATTGTTTTAGTCAAATCCAACTAGTCTCCATGTCTGTTTTGACTTCTCTCTAATCCGTGTAGTTTCAGCTTTTAATACTCTTAAAACAGAGCACTGATGGAGAGAGGTGGTAAGGTGTGAACCCTGGCTTCCATTAATAGCAAATAGTTGAATATAAAATTGAAGGAACTACCCACGTTAAATATAGGTACTTTACATTTATCTTTTTAGTTGGTCAAATATATAGATGCAAACAATTTTGTTTTAAATTAGGATTAAATTTGATCGATGTTTTCAGTACTTTTCGCTACTAGTAGGCTATAACTTATTGATGGTTTTCAACCATTCCCAAGAGAATCAAATAACAAAAGACACGGTGGCCATGTTGGAGGATATAACAAAAGAATTCAATGGCAATTCTTTTGATAAGTTCCTCCAACATGGCTGCCATGAAAACCATCAATAGCCTAATATTAGCTCATCCAATTAGGACGCAGCATTGATGATAGATCACTGGTTGGATTTGATTAATATTGGCTAATCAAGGACGGATCCAGGGGGGGGTAAAGGGGGGCTGAAGCCCCCCTTCAGCAGAAAAAAAACGATGCTTTTTTATATTGTTTTCCGTTGTGTTGACGGAGGAAACTCAATTAGCCCCCCCACTAAAATTTCGGCTGGATCCGCCCTTGCTAATATCTAAGTAGAAGATGTGGCAATGCTTTTCTTGGATAACATTTTTTAATTCTGAAAAAAATGTCTTCGTTTATAAGAGAAAGAACTGAAACTATTGATCTATGATCACTCGCTGAGAAAAACTAGAGAAATAACAAAACTTCAAATAACAGAAGAATCTTAGAAAATTAGGTCAATATTGTTAAAAAGACAAATTATATAAATTCAGTAAAAAGTAACAAAAACTTGAATTTTTTTTACCATAGCTACAAATATTTTTTTATAAATGTGATTGAAAACCTAGAACCTAAAAAAATAATTCTTGGGGCATTGAATATTATTTTGTTAAATAATCTAAAGAATTTTCAAATGTGTTGATTAAATTAACAGCCATTGAAGGCAGCTTCGAAATTTGACAAAAAAAAATGAGATTCAATATTTTTTTTTTTTTTGCTGAGCTCATCAAATAAGTGTCTTGTTGTTCACTAAGTGTCAAAAAAACAGAAAACCATATATTCGATTTTTTTATTAGATTTTTAAAAATTTAGAAAAACTAACACTTTCCATAAAATCATTTCCGGTTTTGTTATTCACCAGTGAATAAATGCGATGTTTCCCGCACAGCTGCCTCCTCCGCAGGCTACCCCATATATTCTCTGTTGGGATCCCTGTGTTAAATTTTATGGCAGAGAAGAACTAGGAACCAGAGAGGAGAAGGATCGTCTTTTTTGTTCTCGCCACAGATAGTCCAAGGAGCAAAAAAGAGCCAATGAGATGCCTGCGGAGGAGGCGACCCGCTCAGTACGGTTACCTGGAAACAGTGAAATTCGATGACTATCAAGTGGTACACTCTTGTCCAATGAGAAGAGTGAAGAAATGGACTTTGACACTTGGTATAAAGCAAAACTAGTTATTTGATTGCGCGTTTTCTTTTGCTCGCTTTTGAGATCGTCTTCGACGTTCTGAACGAATTGAACGTAATTCAGATTTTGATGGTTGGATGTCTAGTTGTACTGATGTCCTGTAGGTATGTGAACGGTGTGGTTTGATATCTCGAACGTTGTAGTCTTTATTTGCTTGTTCTTGGCGTTCTTCCTCTTCAATGGACGTCATTAATGTGTCGTTGGCCATCAGTTGTCGTACTTTGTTCTGCAGATCAGCATCATGGTGTGGGACGTAGGAATCTTTGCGCGTGAGCTTCATGTTGGTTGTCGGTTTGAACTTGAGTCTACAGAAATTGTCAAAACGTTACTTTAAATATTTATAAATTGAAAACTTGTTTTTGCTAATGACTGCATTCGCATTCGTTAGAATAAGCAATAACCTTCCTACTCGTTCTACCGAATGATGTAGTAGAATTTTTTATTTTTCATTTTTATTTTTTTTGCACATAATAATAATCTGAAAAACTCAAATATAAATAAAGTTATTTATTTATTTTTCATAGAAACTTTCGTAAAACATTTCAGTTCAATCTTGCCTTTTCTGCTGATTGGGTGCGGTACTCCTACAGTCTTGGAGCAATTCTAAATGCGCGTGCAATCCTATGACTGATTTGACTGCAATGCAATAAGTTTAGCTCACGACTCCACTCTTAGCTTCATGCACCTAAAGCCTGACACAATACTTTCAGCATTGATTCTTCATAAAGTGAATAGTTGAATGGTGAAATATTTCTTCATTTGAATGTTGTGTCTTTAAGTTATGAAGGTTTTATACTTCCATTATGCTACTGACTGTGAAGTTAAAACTAAGAACTTTTCACCTTCGCAAATTATGTTTTGTCAGCTAATTTTTCTCGGGGAAAAAATCCGAGCTCAGGATCTCATTATTTTTCCCGCCGCGCGCACCTGTTCCTTACCTATTTCGAGCAATAAGTCCCAACACTACTCCCCTCAGTTTCCGTCTAGCATTGAAGGCAGTGAGTCGAACAAGGGTACTGCGTCTGTTGAGTCGTGACCCTGGGATCCCGTCTGGTTCACATATCCACTCGTGTTTCAAAGCCTCGGCGGCTTGGATGCGTTGTTGGGGATCCACAACCAGCTGAGTATAAATTAAGCAGTCGTGGAGTTAGTAAACCTATCTACCTACTGAAGGTAAACCATTACTGATGGAGTTAGTAAACCTATTGACCTACTGAAGGTAAACCATTACTGATGGAGTTAGTAAACCTATCTACCTACTGAAGGTAAGCAAGCCATTACGTCCAGAGATTGAATATGTAATTAGCCCTTGCATTGTTGTGTCTATGTTTAATTTTTCGTTTCTTATTTATACTTATCATAGGTACTTGCGTAATTCAGTCTTACGACTGCGAGGCAAATTTCTTAATAGACTGTTTATCAAGACCCGCTGAACAAATCAAATTACCAACCAACTCATCGACCGACCAATTAACCGACCAACCGGTCGTATTGATCGATCATTGAGGCAATCGGGAATCATGCTTTAGCATGTCACTCAACAAACGACCAACCAAGTTACCAGACAATCCGTTTATCAACTAACCTACCCAACAACCAGCCATTCCTTGGGAAGCATGAGTGGCGTAACGGTGAGAGCGCTCTCACCAATGCAACCCGCCTCGATCTTCGGACTCGTCGTATGTGAGTAGAGTTGTTTGTTGGTTCTCTCCTGTGCTTTGAGGATTTTTCTCCGGGTTCTCCGGTTTTCCTCCCTCCTCAAAAATCAACTTATAGATTCTAATTCGATCTAGAAGGACCTAGATGAAAATTGCTCTGTGTAATTCTAGTTACCCTACAAAATTGTGTGGTTTTTCATTTTTTATCCTTAATTTTATTTTTTTATTTTTTTTATTCCATCGATCAAAACAACGATCAACCAACCGACTGACCATTCGTTCAATCAAACTCACTCACCATCCTCCTGATAAGATCTTTGGCAGGTTCAGACACGGTGTCCCAGTACGGTGATGGGAAGGTGTAGTTACACTGCAGGATACTAAGAAGAAGAAATTCTACTTTTTCATTCCAAAAGGGAGGATATCCAGCCTGGACACAGAAAAAAAAGCACTAAGGTTACAAGGATTTCTTCAGTAAGTAATGATTATCCTTCTAAAGTCTCATATTATTTCTTATGTTAATTTATTTAGGGAATATAAAACGCGCGCGCGTGTCGCTGTACTTAAGCAGCCGTTGTGTATTGCTTTTTATTATATAGTTAGGATAGTAGGCGCGCACTGATTGGTCGAGAGTAGTATAGGGAATGGGGGTTCCAGCGCAATCTCAACACGGGCAAGACCCGTGTCAAAAATCCACCTACGGAAACAACCCACTCCAAGTGTGGTTGAGGGCAACAGCGCAAATATGTTAGTCTATATATGGAGTGCGAAGAATGTA